TTCTATTAAGGGGCCAAACCTCCTGGGACTGCTTAAATGGTGACAAGAAATGGTTTCCTTAAATTAGGTTTGGACCCTGAGCATGAGCAAAATTTTAGTACTTTATGTAAATCACTTCTAATAAGTAATGTGGGGTTTTTGCTGGGAGTTGTTCGCTTCCTTTTGAACAGGCAAATGATGTTTGTGTAGAGATTTTGTTACCGGAGAGTAGGTTCTTGTTTTGCGCAGGAAAGAATTCAAGAGCCAGCCATAGTAAAGTGAAAGCAAATTTATTTATTTAGAGAGAGACACATTCCATAGACAGAATGCGGTCAGTCTCAGGAGGGAGAACAGCCCCGGGGTTGGAGGCAGTGGGGTGGTTAGTTTTTATGCGCTGGGCAATTTCATGTGCTGACAAGTGGGAGCATTATTCCAACTGTTTTGGAGAAGGGGCAGGGATTTCCAGGCATTGGGGTTCAGCCACTTTTTGGCCTTTTATGGTCAGCCTGGAAACTGTTGTGGTGCCTGTGGGTGTGTCATGTAGCATGCTAACGAATTACAGTGAGCCCTTAGTGAGGCTCAAGGCCTACTGGACGTCTTCTGCCCTCTTGGGCCTAAGTTAGCTCTAACCAGTTTATGTTGTACCTCAACTGCTGTGTCATTCTTTTAATGGTTGTGTCTTGCTCCCTCCCCTCCTGTCTCAGTTTAAATAACCTGAAGTAATAAAGAACAGTTTTGTATCATTGACTCTTTGATTGTTGGCTTTTTGTGGAAGGACATTGACCCTGATTAGATTATGACAGAACTAAGCTAGCCAACCAAATTGTATCACTTAAAATAAAATGATGATGTGCAATCTGATAAATCTCGAAATTAGTGAGAGTAATATACTTTAAACAAATTAAATCCTATGGAACATTGTCCTGTACACCAGGTATTGACACATTGTAGCTGACTACTTCCATTTAAAAAAATAATGATAACAAAATGCAAAAAAAAAATCAGTTCTAGCGGTACTGACTTCAGAAATGTGTAACTTGTAAGTCTCTTTTGAATATCCTCTCCATTCAAGTATGAGTAATATATGTTTTTATGGATTTTAAAGTTTTTGTCAGAAAAACAATACACACCCACTTCCTTGAACTCACTCAATCTCATGGCTTTAAAAACTAAATTTTTATCTCCAGCCTGGACTACTGCCTATTTAAAAATCTTTATGTGGTTTTTATAGGCTTCTCAAACTTAACACATTCATATCTGAACTCATCTTCCCCCTGGACTCAAACAATGTCAGCTCCATCCATCCAGGTGCTCACGTCAGAGCCTTTGGAGTCATTCCTGTCTTCTTCCTCTCACACCTTACCTCCCAGGTTGTCAGCACGTCCTGTTTGACTCTTACTTTGAAAATACATGGAAAGTAAGACTTCTTGCCGTCCCTATCACCCTCTACCCTGGTCCGTGCCAGTCACCTTCGCCTCTCGGCTGGGTTGTGGTATTAAGCCTCTTCCGTTACCAGTCGTCATGCTGCAGCCCTTCGGGGTTTTTCTCAACAGCCAGAGCGATCTTAAACAGGATTCAGATCATATCTTTCTCTGCTACTTCGATCTCTACAGAGGCTGAAGTGTCATTCAAGTCACTTCATGTCACTTGAGTAAAGGCCAAAGTCCTTCCACTGGCCTGCAAGGCTGGATGCAGCCCCTGTCACCTCTCTGAGCTCATCTCTGGTCGCTCTCCCTCTTCTTCATGCCGCTCCAGCCCCTCTGGCCTCCTGTGTCTTGAATGTACCTTGCTCACTCTTGCCTCTGGACACTTGCACCTCCTTCTCCCTCTGCTGGAATGGTCTCCTTGTTTCCTCTGTACTTGTTCTGACTTGAGGCAAAGCCACCTCAGTGAGACTTCCGCTGATTGTCATTTAAAATTGCAGACCCCTTATACCTTCTTGTCCCCATTAGATTCCCCATTTAAGATCTTTTAATATAATATGTACATTCCTGGAACATCAGTTCCATGAGGGCAAGCAAGTTTGTATGTGGTTCTCTGCTGTTTTCCCCACAACTAGAGCAGTAGCTAGCACATCGCACACTGTAGGCATTCAGTAGACATTTGTTCATGAACAGATGAAGATTGATTTGAATCTGAAATGTGTTTTATATTAGACTTTTTTCCTTTTGTTATTTGTTAAGGTTATTTGTACCGTGTTTCCTGTTTAACTGGGTTGAGCAGTGGATTAAAGAGATATTTTCAGTATTTTTGTCTACTTGCTGGAGAAAATACCTTCTGTTTTTTGGAGGGAGAGGTTAAAGTGAGTGTATTTCCTAAAACTGTGCGAATTATCAGCGCGGATTCATGTGGGAGAAGTTGGCACCTGTGAAGGTACAGATGTAACCTGAGCAGCACGCTATCATCAGGTCAGGTGGGGTTCAGCTTTGGAAGAGCTGCTTCAAATCACGGGCTGTGGGGCCTGGCGCGGGTGAGCTCGTCTTAGCTCGCCTTCTGTGGTCTGTAAAGTGGGGACGGCAACTTCCGTCTCGCTCACAGCACTGAGGTGCTGAGAGAGAGAATCGAATGAGATCCTGGCAGGGACCTGCTTTGCAAACCCCTTGTTTTGTAAAGTCGCTGTGATTGCCCTGTCTACTGGTAGGTCACGACAGCTACCCTTCTCAGTGCCACCTACTTCCCCTCTGGGTCCCTTTCTTCAAATGTTGCATTATTGTTGTATTTGGTCATTTTTAAATGAGGGTCAGAAAAACTATGCTTAGTGTAGTAAATGCAGAGGGGAAAAATATATGCTTACTGGGCTATATTTTAGAGCCAAATGTAAATGGTGGTTGGATTGACTTTTGCTTTGGATTGTCAGTGTTCCCAGTTAATGAAAGCTGCACACACACACACACACATACACATTTCATTTTGTGGGTGCTTTCTCTAGTGATTATTGAATTTTTCTTTCTTGTTAACTCTTGACAGAAACAACGCAGATTTCTTTGTAAGTAGAAATACAGCATATGAGTTTGTGGAAAGTAGTGTTGAATGTGCAATTTGGACTTCCTATTTTTTTTTCTCTTTTTTGAGTATTGAAATCATGTTTTTACAGTTTTCTGGAGCAGTTTTCTTCTTAACCTTAGGGAGAATGGTTTTTTTCTTAAATTTATCAGGAGTATTGTCTGTCTTGAACTGCATCTGAGAGGTTTTCAGCCTAAACTCCGTGTTCTTTTTAGACACCCAGTAGACCTTGGTGTGTTTTCAGTGTCAAAGAGGAATGTTTCAACAACTGTGTTAGCTGATAGTTTTCCTTCTTGCATGATTGGCTTGTTCAGGCTCTAAACTTAAGCCTAGTGGAGAAGTAATATTCTCTGTGTGTGTTTTCAGTTGCTAGCACTAGTGGCTACGGGGCTTGGGAGTTTGTTACTGTCTGTTTAACAGATGGTTCGTCTAGGCAGAACCTTTGCAGTTATTAGAATAATTTTTCATTTTCTGGAAATATGTTTTGAAAATTGAAATCCTATCTGAAAGCGCATTTCCTATGTAGAAGGAAGCAATTTAGGTTTGTGGTACATGCTTTCCCCTTTCTGACATTGCTTATAGATTGTCAGCATTATTGCTCCTTCATCCGTCTGTCTCCCAAAGATGGTTGTTTACATTTTTATTGTCCTGAATGCCTAAGGGTATTTGAACTGCTTATGGCGAGGTCCTTCCTGATATCAGGTTTGACCTAAAAGCTTTGGAGAGAGTATATGATAATTGTTATGGTTTTGGCATGACCAAAGAGAATTTTCTCTGCATCTGAGGCATGTAATTACAAACTGACTGGTTTGTTGTTGTCTAAGTAGAGGAGCAATCTTTTGTTTGTTGTGCATGTATTTTCCTATCCGTCCTTAGTAACATGAGAAACAGATGGTTCTCATATTGATCAGCTGTTTCCATTTTTTTTGCATTAGAGCATTGAGGGTAAGGACCATGAGCCTTTCCCTCGTGGTATCTTTAGTTCCAAACACTTGGCACATAAATAATGTTTAGTACAGATTGTTGAACAAATAAGATGAGATATTGATGAAGATGATAAACGATAGAAAGAGATAAATTGTTGGTTATTATGACTTTTCCAAAATTAACTTGCAAATAAAACCGTATTCTTCTTGCCCTTTTAAAATTTTTATAAGAATTGTGTTCAGTTGGAGTTTGGGATTCACTTGTCTTATAAATTCTTAAAAACTTCAGACTTTCCTTTTTGGTTTAGTTCTAAGGAGGAGTTTGTTAGGGAAGCTATTAACAGTGGAAATTTGGAAGAATGTGTAAACCACCTAATATCCCCTAATGGTGGAACGTGGTTTTGGGACACTGTTATACTTTGTTAAGGCAGCGATAGTAAATCTTTAGAGAAACAGTGGAAAATAACTAGAATAGTAGACTCAGAAGGTGTAAAACGTTATAATTGAAGGCAGAAGAATCTTGCTTTGAAGTTGTCACTTTCGAGTCAGTTCTTAGGTTTATTCTTGAGAGGAGCCCTGGAAGTTTGGAGAAATAGGCTAGAAAGAGTCTTCAGAAGATGGTTCACTGTGAGACGTCCAGAGACATTTTCTGAGGCTGTTCGGATTACTCTTTTCTTCGTGTGGAAATCATTTTTACTACAGATTCTTTCCCTTTTAAATTAATATTGTGGGTTATGAAGCTTCTTTTGTATAATTATACCGATTATATGTTGTTTACTAGGGAATACTTTATCCTTTAAAAGGAGAAAACAATTTGCATACAGAAAGTATAGTTTACTCTTATGCATTTAGACATGTTCATTACTGGTGTGCTAGAAAAATCCCAAACCATATGCTGGCTGAGGCCAAAAGTTGCTTTTAAAAAAATTTTATATCACTTGTCCTTTTTTCCTATGAGCAGTTAGAAGTTTTTAGTGCTAAAGCATGAGTAAGTAAGCGATCTAACAAAACATTAGTTTAGGAAGAAAATATGAGGAAATGTTCAAGGACAAAAATCAATCTCTCTCTCTCTCTCTCTCTCTTCTCTCCTAGCTATTTTTGAAACGTGGGGGTTGTTGGAGTGGTTGGATTTTCCCTGGAATTGAGTGAGAAATTCAGAAGACTGAAGCCCAGGCTTACTGTCTACCTTTCACGGAGGCCCAGCCGTGAGAGGACAGAAGAAGGCACGTGGCGAATCATGACAGCTGACAAAGACAAAGACAAAGACAAAGAGAAGGATCGGGACCGAGATCGGGACCGAGAGAGAGAGAAAAGAGACAAGGTGAGAGAGAGCGAGAACTCCAGGCCTCGCAGGAGCTGTACCTTGGAAGGAGGGGCCAAAAATTATGCTGAGAGTGATCACAGCGAAGATGAGGACAATGACAACAACAGTGCCACCACGGAGGAGTCCACAAAGAAGAACAAAAAGAAGCCCCCGAAAAAAAAGTCTCGTTATGAAAGGACAGATACGGGCGAGATAACCTCATACATCACTGAGGACGACATCGTCTACAGGCCTGGAGGTGAGGCGCGTTTGGGTCTTTCAGTGTCTGGGGCGGAGAAACGATGTCAGCGTAGACGGAGGGAGGCTTGGAACCCTGCGAGGAGGCAGTGGGTTTGGGCCGGGAAACTCCGGGCAGTGAACACCGGCTTTAGCCCGCTTTGGTCCGCTGGGTTCACGCACTCCTTCCCTCCGTCTGCCTCCACTTTCGCTTGTCAGTTCTTCCCTTCTGTCTGCCTGCTGCTCCCTGTTCTCTCGCCTCACTGTCCCTGAGTAGTTTTCCTCTTCTGACTTCCTCCTTGCTTGAATCTTTAACACAGATGAGGCCCTGGTGAGACCCTGCAGAATGGAATGCATGGTGGGACAAGTAAACTTTACAGGTCTTGGAAACAGGGAATTTTACATTGGCTTCAGGAGTGACCAGAAGGTAGAGAGGTATTTTTAATGGCCTTCAGACCAAGGTTTATTCCTTTTGATAACCCCTTTTTCCAAAGCATTGAGCTTCAGGGTCTCTGTCATTGATAATAGATGAAGCCAACTAACCTGTTTTGTTTTCCAGAAAAGATACTGTGTTCAGTGTATTGAGGTTTATAGCATTGTTCAGAGAGAGACACCCAGCAGTCAAATGAGATGCAGGGAAACAAGTGGTTTCAGAACCTGTTGGACACCAGCAAGACCTTCCTTTTTCATTTGGTGTAATGTGTCTAGTAAGGTATTTTGCATACAGAAGTCAGTAAAACTAGCTAAAATCATTTTGTTTGAATTACCTATAATGCTGAGGAATAACATGAACTTCATGAGATGTAATTAACAGGTTAAAATCCGCCCAGTTTGCTGTTTTTCCAGGGGTGGAGATGAAAGAGATTATATTATGTCATTAATCTCATACAGTTGTCTTCCTGAGAGCACTGTAACTGTTCTGGGCCACGTAAAGTACCAGATTTTTTTCCCCCATATGGGAATTAGTTTTGAATTTCAGAACATAATCAATATTAGAACTTACACAGATATACTTGTATTCACAACTACAATTTTTTGGTTGACGACTAACTGAGAAGATACTTATGTGAGAGAAAATTATCAAGGTTGATGTTTCAGGGAAGTTGGAGCTCTGCTACAGAGACTTGGATGTGTAGTTTAGTTTATAAGACGGTCAGGAGTTTTGATTCGAACTTAAATATTGGACAAATTGGAATTTCTTAGCCACTGAAGAACACGTCATTATAGACTTCACCCTAGTGGCTTGCTGTGGGCCTGTGTAGTTACAGATCATGAGAAAGGAGCAGAGTGTATTAACCTCTTAGACATAGATTACAGGATGGTACGTTAAAAATAAGAGAAGACTTTATTTGCTGTCCTTTTCTCTTGTTGCACAGCAGTTCCGCGTGGACTGGGATCGTTTGGATCGTTGTCAGAAGGCCGGCCGCCTTGTGCGGTACTGAACGCCAGCCTTTCTCAACGGAATGTTACTCCTGTGTCAGTGGGGACGCTTTCCCCAAAATACTTGTAGTGAGGTACACGTGGGAAATGCCGCACACATGCTGTCCCTCTCGTGAGAGATTCATAATTAATAACTCTGAGAAGTCCTGCAGTTAAGGAAACCTTTTAAGAACATCTAAAAAAAGCCATTTTTCCCATTTTTGGGCCTGTGGCATCCTGTTTTTACTGAATAACTTCCTAAGAAAAACCGTTTTTGAGAACACTGGTTTGAGAGCTGTTGCACATTCGTATTGCGCCTTCTACAGGATGATTTCCTGCTCGGTGTTTAGAAGACCGTGTGGAGGGAGGTTGCTAATGGCTTATTTGCAGAATAGTGAGTTCTTGTTTTGATGAAGAACTTTGTACTAGGGAGGCAAACTTTGTTTCGGTGAATCTGAAGACCTTTGTGAAATGTAAAGAAGACACAGGCTCTCTGGAAGATACATGTGTTTGAAAGATCTACAGAAACCCCAAGTGGCTTGAAAGTTTTCTGTGGCACTCAACGCATAACCACTTCCTGTGAGGAGCCTCGTGTGCTTGGGAGGGCGGCAGTGCTGTGGCCTAGGGTTTGCACCCTGCCAGGTCCCTGGGTGTTCACTCTTTGGTAAGGAGACTGTCTTTGACCTTCTCGGTGGTTTCATTTCTTTTGAGGTTATGCATTTGGAGCCAGATGACTTGGTTGCCTTCTCCAAATAGCTCCTTTCTAAATGGAGGGCTTTAAAATACTGCCTATTCTTTAGGTTTACTTAAACCGAGGACTCAGAAGTTAGGGTACTGTGATTAGATTCCTAGATAGGACTTGGTTTCTTCCGCTTTCCTTTGTCTTCCTTTCTGGTCTTCTTTCTTGGTGCGAAGTCCTACAACATCATCTTTTGTTAGTGATGAAAAACCATCACCCTCGCCCAGTTGCAGAGGTTCTGTGTGGTTGTATCTTAAGGGTTTCAGCAGGGATTTTATGGAGCATCATAAGGGATTTCTTCAGTGTGTTACTAGTTTGGAATGGTAAATATTTTATACTCATTTGTTTCCTTAGGAAGTAAATCACAGATTAATTTTTTCCTTTTTACTTCTCAGAATTGGTTTTAATACTCAAATTAAGTATAAATTATAGATACCTCCCAAAATGTCATTAAGAATGAGCCAAGCAGTGAGTGATACTGTGCGGATAAAAATAGACTATTATGTAACTATTCTTCCTTGTCCTGGGGGATAGGCCTATGTTCAGATTATTTGGTCTGAGAGAAATGAGATTTTATTGAGAAATTGGATATTTAGAATTTGTTACTAGGTTAAGATTTATTTCATGCATGGTTACAACCAGTTCTTTTTTGTTCCTGCTCCTCATCTCTGTGTGTATCTTTATTTTACCCTTTGGAGCTCAGCATAATGGGCTTATAGTTAGTTGCACTACTAGTGTTACCTCCTGCCTCAGGGCCTTTGCGCTTGCTGTTGCCTTAGGTTAGTGAACCCCATACACATGCAGACATTTAACTTAATTTCTGTCCTTTCTTTAGTGCTCTCATTCCAGTGTCATTGCCTTTCCCCTCCCACGTTATCCAGTTTTCCTTAATAGATACTGTCACAGCATCATGTATCTTTTCTAGCACTTATAACTAATAATTTACTATTTATTTCTGTTACTGTTTTAGGATTACTAGCTCTCTCTCCTCTATAAAGGCAGCAACTTTATTTTTGCTTATCATTGAATTCTTGGAATCTACAACAGTAGTGTATATTCCATAAAAATACTTGTTGAATAAGTAAGTTTCTGAAAATTTTTTTCAAAAGTGTGTTGACTGATTAATGATGTCAGAGTTAGAATAATGCTTCTGAAAGTCCATGTTGAATAATTTATTTTCCAGTGAATGATTTAACAGACTTGTTATAAAATAAAAACCAAAACAAAAACCTTGTGGGGCTCTGTTTATATATTGCCTCTGTGTCTAATCTAACTTCTTTGTTGTCTTTCAACCATTACTTTGCTTTTGAGATGACTGTCATGGTAACAAATTGATTTATTACACATCTGTGTGCAGCCAGATTTCCCTTGTGGGCCTTTTTAGCAAAGGATATTGATTCTAAAATTTGCTGGGTAGCATATTAATTTCTTTCTACTATTTTCTTCCTTCTTCTCCCTAGCTTTATTGAGATATAATTGACGTAAAACATTGCTTAAGATGTATAACATAGTGATTTCATATATGTGTACATTGCAAAATGATTACAATGAGGTTAGTTAATACTTCCATCATCACACATAATTACAGTTTCTGTGTGTGTGTATGTGGTGAGAACTTTTAAAACCTGTTCTTCTAGCAACTTTAAAAATATTCACTGCAGTATTCTTAACTATAATCACCATGCTTACATTATATCCCCCAAACTTACTCATCTTATAACTGGAAGTTTGTACCCTTTGACTACTTTCACCCATTTCTTTTACCCCTTGCCCCCACTTCCCTACCTGTGGCAACCACTAATCTGTTTTCTGTTTCTGGGTTTGATTTTCTTACATTCCACGGATAAGTGATATCATACATATTTCTCTGTCTGACTTTTTCACTTAGCATAATGCTAAGGTGCTGCAAATGGCAGGATTTCCTTCTTTTTTATGGCTGAATAATGTTCCATTGTATATCTGTACCACATTTTCTTTATTTGTTCATCCATCAGTGGACACTTAATAGATTGTTTCTGGGTCTTGGATATTGTAAATAATGCTTCAGTGAACCTAGGGGTGCAGATACCTCTTCCAGATAGTGATTTTATTTCCTTCAGATATATACCCAGAGATGGAATTGCCAGATCATATGGCCGTCCTGTTTTTACTTTTTGGAGGAACTTCCATGCTGTTTTCCAGTTTACATACCCACCAAAAGTATATCCACTATTTTCAGTTAGACACTATGATTCCTTTATTCCTGATCGAGTAAAACAGTCAAAACAATTAAATTCAAATCAGTTGGGAGCAGTTTTTTCATTTTGGCGTGTCAGTTTTGCTTACTATTTTGATAAGGAAACGTGTCTTTACAAAGTGCCTATTAAGCTGGTTCTGTTTCTTGTATTCTGTCATTTCAGCTGATAACATTTTATTCTCTCATTTACCTTAGGTATTTTCCTAGAGTAACAGAAACCTCTAGCACATACATGGAGGGGGAAAAACACCAGGACAGGAATTTCAAGTTTGTTATATTATGTTCCTTCTGCTTTCATGAACAAAGTGTGAAATTCTTCATGAATATAAATTTTATATATAAAAGGCTAAAACTTTTAAGTCTGTGGTTTATGAAATCTTAGGTGAAATTAAAGATTTCCTCTTTTATTTGCAAATTTTCCTCATTATTGTGTGGAATTGGGGAGTTGAACTGATGAGGGACCTGGAAACTAGAATTGATTCTATATTGAACATTGAGGTGTTAATTTCTTTTGATGCAAATGGAATTTAAGCTGGGAAAATCTAAACGAATTGAAACCTGGGGATCTGGGTTGAATCAATATGAACTATTGAAGTTAAAAGTAGACTATTAATCAAGCATAATGCTG